AAAAATTAAATCTTTTGTTCTTTTCTTATCGTTTTGGAAACGTGTTCAGTAATAAAAACCATATTGTTACGGCCCCTGGCCTCTTGAGGCTGTGCAGGCTCCCTTTTTGTTATGCAGGTTCAGCTGTGAGAGCACACCTTCCTGATTGGCTGCCTGAAGGCTGCAGGAGAACAGCTACACCATTGGACCAGCAGAGGATTGTCAAGCCAATCAGAGTTGATGAGGCCCCCCTGCACCCTTTAAAAGGCTCCTGAATCCATTCCTCTAGTGGGGCAGCTAGTTTGAAGAGGTTTTGTGAAGCTGCCTCCTCTTGTTTGGTAGTTGCAACTGCTTTAGGCAGGTTTTAAGCTGGCTTGGTCTTTGCTTGTTCCTGTTTGTCCAGTTTAGCTACTTTTGACTTTGCTCCAGTTAAGTATGAGTTAGAAGCCCATGTTTGGGAGGCTGTGTGCTCCCTGCAGCCTCCCCTTTGTGTGTGTGTGTGTGTGTGTGTTTCTTTGCATTGTTTTCCTTTTGTGGTTTATTTTGAGTTTACTTTGAACTGACTTGTTTGGACATTTTGTAACTTTAATTTGCACTTGACATTCTTGAGTTTGTTAATCCCTTTTGTTTTGCATTAATTGGGTTAAATTGTATTGTTTTGTGAAACTTTATTTTGTAATAAATCATTTTTACTTTACACTTTGGCTCTGGACACATTTTATGTTACCGCCCCTGGACCCTTAACAACATGACATGAGTTTTAAATCACATGAAGAGGAACACCAGAAGTAATTTAAGTTTGTGTCTTTATTTCAACCTGTAGAGACTCACACAGAGAGAGAAGCAGCAGTTAGATGATTTTATTGGACTTATTGGATTTGGTGCTCGGACACTGGCGGAAGACGTGCATGCTGAGAATCGCAGTGAGCTTGAATGATTGGCTTGAATGAAGCTCAGGTAGGTCTACCCCCGGGGCCAGTCACTGGTGGTGGAGCGGAGCTTGGAGAGAGGAGGTTTGAGGGGACCTGGAGGCGTCTTGGAGGCTGGTGGTGGAAACGGGGAGGAGGTGGGTTGAAACACAGCTGAAGCGGGTGGATCTGTGGTTGCTTTGCTTTTTGAAGGAGCTCTTGCCAGGTGATTGGATCGAGGTAGAGAAGTGGTGCGTCCTGGTTGGCTGGGGTGAAGGCGTGGTGCTGGAAGAGTCTTACAGGTTGAATTTTTGCCTAGGGCTTCATTTTACATAAGAAATGAACATGCAGCATCTAAACTCTGCAGCTCTGGAGTTACTATTCCTGATTTAGTTTTAGAGAACTTTAAACTGCAACACGACCAAAGAGCTGTGCACAAAAATAATGAAACAGAAGTCACATAAAGCAACTATTAGCAGATAATAAAATCCTAATAACTTAAAAATAATAGAAAATACATCACATTTTAATAAAGATACAAAGAAATAAAAAGTAAAACATCCTTCCATCCATTTTCTTCCTCTTGTCTGGGGTCGGGTCGCGGGGGCAGCAGCTTAGGGACGGAGGTAAAACTAATTGGCTCCTAGAAGACGATGGAGACGTCTAATTGGCTGCTTCCTGGAGGTGATGGATATATAAAGCAGTAGAAGCGGACTTCCTGTTTTCCATCCTCTGCTCATCTCACCGTTTGTTTGTTCACATCTTGTCAAAGTTCTGGGGTTGTAGGAGTGAGCTGCCGTTTATGTTTTCTAAGTTTTCTCCTGTTTTTTTCTTAGTTAGAGAGGTAAGTTTTTGTCATTTGATTTATTTACTTTCGATTAGGTAAGTTTCGGTTAATATTCAGACAGTTCCCTTTTGTTTGTTGTTTTCGGCATAGCTGACTCTGAAGCCATATGTTCCACTTGTAACATCTTCATCAAAAATACACCTTTTTAAAAAA